GAAGCGGGCGTTCGGGGCCGGCGAGAGGCCGGGACCCACAGTGGGGCTACAGGAGAGGAAAGGGGCACTCGACATTGTTCGGTCACCTTCCCGGAGATTGGAAAGTACCTTTACTAAGTCACGAAGGAGAAAATAGTATCAGGGCTGAGCCGCCACCCTACCCCCAGTGAAGTTGGGCAGAGATCCAGGACTTCCCTCTCAGCAGCCCAACATTTAGTCTCTGTGACTTCTGTTTATAAAGTGGGAATAGTGCAGATGGATAATAGTTTTCCAAACGCAAAATCCAGAGTTGGTCAAACACACAGAGAATACTTGACCTTGCCCTAGGGAGAGCAAAAAACACCTCCCGTTTGTAGCCTACTGGAAAAGGCCTTCTCAAGATTAAAGCACCTTGATTGTGAGCTGATAAACCTGTAAGTTTAGAAACAAGGCCTCAAACCTTTGAGTTCCTTCTGCCCCTGTCTTTTCTATGATTACAGGCCCTGAGCCCGGCTACCTGTGTGTGTGTGGGGGGGGGGGGGGGGGTTGTCTGTCTGTGTCTGTGTGTCTGTTATTAAAAACCTGCCGTTTAAATTTTGCTTCTTGTAAATATTAGCACAGTTTTTTTTCATTCTAAAACAGCTTTGGACCAAGAAATAGCTGTCATTATTTTGCCAAAAGAAAAAAAATCTACATTTTTGCCAGGGGCAAAGGGGGGGACAGTTCAGTTCGTCACTGATCTGAATAAAGAAGTGTTCTGTTTACATTCACTGTTCTTAATTGCTTTATAGTATTACTTTGATAATCTTTATATACTCACCAACATTTAACATGATACGCATCCTTTAAATGAGTTAAAATCACAAGAAACATAGTTGTCAGTATTTGGAAGCTGGTGTAGAAGAAAGCTAGAATTTTATATACATGCAGAAAAATCTGTAAAAGTAGAAAAAAATACAATATACACAAAACTTGGTTTGCAGAACAGTTAGTAGACGAATGCTACTCTTAAACAGAGACATTCCACTCAGAGTTTGCGTGGTTGCTGTGTTTAAGGATAAACATGAAAATGTAAGCCAAGAAGGCTGGCCAAACTTGACGTATTCAGAAGCAAAACAGAAGTGAGCTGAGAGTGGCCAATGGGTCAGTTTATTTAAGTCTGTCTTACAAAACATTCTTGGAGTAAGTTTAGGAAGATAATGGTCATTTGGCCCTGCAAAGAGCCCTGCTTGTCTATTTTGGAATCCAGACTTTTGTGGCTTGTTGCTTACAGAAGCCGACTCCGGGTCTTCTGCACTCCTGGGCTTGGTGCTGCCTGCCCTGGTGTTTTCATTTTTTCATGTAGAATTCTTCCTGCCAGGCCTCCAGAGTGAGCTTTTCCCTCTCAGAAGTGAAAAAAAAAAAAATGGCAGGGAGAAAACAATATGCTGGTCCAAAGGACTTTGACTTTTTCTTCTTTCTCATCATAAAGACACTAAACGTTTTAATCAAAATATGTGATCGTTTACTTAAGCATGAATCTAAACATGGTGAGAATTTGATAGTTACACTGTGTACCAAGCAAAGAGCAAGTGGAAAACAGAATACCAAAATATAGATTAAGTAATGTATGTCAAGGCCTCAAATTCTGACTGTCAATCAGCCACAGTGATAGTCACTGAGACTCATTATGAGCTAGGCACAATTTTTCTTCTTGGATGATCTCATTTGACTCTCTCAACATTCCTACGAGGTAACTACAATGTTATCTCCATTTTCAGATGCGGACAAACGGAGGTACAGAAGGGGTCAATCCACAGGAAGCAGAGGGAAAAGTCACATGCTAAAAAACATCCATTTTGTCAACAGCTAAATATGTAACGACAGGTGTATGGAAAGTTCTTTCGGTAGGAAGTTTTTATATAGAATGCATTTAAATCCAGGTGTATTTTTTCAATTTTATTATGTTTATTTATCCTCCCTCTCTCTCTCTCTCATGTGTGTGTAATTGTGTGTGTATGTGTGTGATTGTGTGTGTCGAGTATAATTTTCAGGGGTTCCAGGGATCAAAGTCAGGTCGTCAGGCTTGGCAGCAAGCACTTTTACCCCCTGAGGAATCTCACCAGCTCTCCAGACATATTCAAATATTACTCATGTCTTTTAATAAGATATTGATGTCTTATAATTTTCTATAACTAATTTCATCCCTAAGAATAACAGCATAGATGAACCCCAGATAAAAGTTTAAAGTATTCAATGACTCTGTACAAATATTTTGATATTTAGGGAGGGTTTGACATTAAACCACAGGAAATTAAGGCTTTATGGTTTTACACCCTGTTTTGTTTGTTTTTTGTTTGTTTTCTTTGTTGAGCCAACATCTCATATAGCCCAGCCTGGTCTCAAACTCAATATGTGACCCAAATTACCCTTCAATTCCCGATCCTTTTGCCCCATCCTCCCACATTCTGGGACTGCAGGCTTGAACTACCACAGCCAACTTGTGCATTTATCACGATAGAGTATCCAGTGATTAAACTGCATCATAACCAGATCTTTTTCTTTCTTGGATTTTCTTTGTCAAATCTCCCTTCCTATTTCAAAGAGTGTTGATATTTATTCAAAGAAATTATTTATAAATCCATCTAAAGCCACATTTAAATGCTTCAGTGACATGCTGAATTTAGAGCAAAGACTGAGCTCTGTGGAGTAACATAATTCTGGTCATCATTTTTAAAAGACCAACCAATTTGTTGTCATTGAATTCCATTTCTGTAATGCTATCTTATATATAACTATAATATTTCTTGGAGAATGGGCAATAAATTCAAACCTATGAGTTTCAGGATCCAATTCAAGTGTGCATTCTTTCAAAGTGCCCTTGGGGACAGTCGTCACCTGGTTCCGTTGTGAGTTATGTTTCTGACTGTGTGTTTCACCAATCAGAATGCTAGCCTGTATGTATAGATGCATGCTCGCTGATTGAAGCCACGGTTTGTGTAATTATCAGTTCATCACTTCACAGAACATATCTAAAAGTTAAATGTGACACATACACTTTCCTGCTGTTGTGCCTTAAAGAGCAAAACCCAGAGAAAGTTTGAAGCAGCATTATCAAGAAGTGTGCATTAGTTAACCTTAGCTACTTTTTTTTTCTGGATTGGAGACATCCAGTTAGGCCATTTAAACCCCTCTGCAAATGTGGTACAGCAGAGGAGGCCTTCCTTCCTCAGTGTATCAGCACCAGCCCCTTTGTCACGTTCCCTTTCCCTTATTTATACCGTATTCCTTATTTATAGTCTTCATTTATGCTACAAAAATGTTTACTTAAAAGCTATCCCCGCCGGTAGTGGTGGCGCACGCCGGTAGGATTTGCTGAAGGAGGCAGAGGCAGGAGGATCACGAGTTCGAGGCCAGTCTGGGCTACACATTTTGGCCGGATTCTCTGACTGTGGCTGGCCCGGGGTCTTTCTGAAAAGCCATTGACTATGACACTGGGACCTGTTTCCTCTGCATATGCTGGATTTTGGGGATCCAGTCTGTTTGGACGCTCGCCTTCCTGGACCTGGAGGGAGGGGGAGGGAGCTGGAGCTTCCCACAGGGCAGGAAACCCTGACTGCCCTGGGGGACGGAGGGGAAGGAGGGGGGAGTGGGGGGAGTGGGAGGGTGTTGGGAGGGGGGGCGGAAATGGAAACTTTTATAATTTAATAAAATTTACTAAAAAAAAAAAAAGCTATCATCAAGGGGCTGGAGAGATGGTTCATTGGTTAAAAGCATATCCTGCCTGTGCATGGCATTGGAATTCAGTTCCCAGCACCCACAACTGCCTATAACTCCAGCGCTAGAGGAATCTGTGTTCTCTCCCTGCCTGTCCAGATAGCTGCTCACCTGCACACGCCTCCGCACAGACACACATGCATATGCATAATTGTGGCGGTCGTTCCACGCCACAGGATCTGCATCACCACCCAAGAGCTCTAATGTCCTAGGGGTTAAAAACATAGATGCACACACGCACATACAGAGTTCGAGTCATTCCCCAGAGGAGAATGCCCCATTTATTCAGCTTAATCTGGGGTTAATATACCCTTTTGCCCCAGTAAAGAAAACTCCTCCCACCCAGAGGGGGCTGGGGAAACTGGCACCTGTGAGAGCTTCTCTGCAGGCAGGTGGTCAAGGGTGCAAGGCAGTGTCAGACAGGGTAGATGGACCTTGGCGCCTGGGCTCTTCCAGGCAGGTTGAGAAATTACCATTTTAAAGTGATATAGAGCCCTAGGCTATTATACCAGGCTAGAGCAGAAGCAAGCAGGGAACTTAGCAGGAAGCTTAGCTGGTTAGCGCAAACATTTCTTGCATCCTGTGCTTTGGCCTCGAGGAATAGGGAAGACAGGGCCTCACATGCACACCTCCGCACAGACACACACGCATACGCATATTACAAACAGAAAGATCCCCAGTGTACAATCACAGTGCAGCATGGACCTCCCTGCCCATCCCATCTGCCCTCATCAGTGTGAAAGCACACCTCCTCCCTCCACTGAGAACCCCTGCAGGGCCTCTACTAAGGCTGTGACCTAAATGGATTCTGCCAGGACAGAGTGAGGACCAAGGCAGTTGTAGACCTTGAGGTTAGAGACTCCAGTTTAAGGCCTCCTTCAGGTATAAAAAGATCCCAACTCTGTGGGATTGACAGCTGACTAATGTCTTTCTTTACTTTAAAACACTGAGTGGTCGCTAGAAGGGATGTTCTTACAGGCACTTAAAAAGATTTAGGGAAACAAGGACGAAGGTTGGTGAAAGAAACCATGAATGGGACCAAGCTGACACAAAATGTATTTAACAATCTGAACTTTCTGTCATTTACTGTTTGCTTATTTTTGTCTAATCATTGTGTGTGTTATAATAAGAATACTCATAAATCTTGTTCTATTTTTTGAAACATGGTCCTGACTCCCTGTATAGACAAGGCTGGTCTCAAACTTGCTCACACCCTCCTGAGTGCTGGGATTAAAGGCATGCACCACTACATTCACTGGATAGAAGTATTTCAAGTTAAACTGACAGGTTCCTTTCCTCGTGGCGGTCTGGTGAATGATGGCTGCACACAAGTCTCAGGGAGTAGTGTAGCCTAATACTTGGATGGGTTTCCGTGAGGATCTGTGGAGACATTTCTGGTGGATAATCAGACATACAATCTCCATACTTTCCCTTGTCAATGCTTCAGACCGTTACACAGTGTGCTGTTCAGAGGTTCCAGGGCACACTGGCCAAGATTCACACCGGTTAGGTCGTCATGTCCTTTTTTTGTAGACTATGTGTGATTTTCTTTGGGACTTGCCGGCTGTGGGGTACTGGGTGGGACAGACACCCCAACAAGCCGGCCCCCTCACACTACATACAGCGCCCATGTGGATAACTGCATCCACAGAAAGTCTGAGAAAGTTTGGGAAAGAATAGAGTAAAGCATGTTTTCTTGGTAGCAGCAATTTCTCAGGTCTGCTCTGCTTGCTACAGGCAAGCAAGCGCTCTCATCTAAGAGAGGCTTCCTGGCTCAGCTTTAGCTGCAAAACCCTGCAGCTCTTTAAGAGGTCCTGACACGAAATACTTAAATGGTGTTGATGAAAAGCTGAATGCATGCTTTTCAGATTTCAGCTGTAGCAGGAAAAAAGCTACATTGTTTTAAAATGCTGGCTTTCTGGGCTGTCCTGCCAGGGCAAACTCTGACTCTTTCAGGCAGGCAGTCTGACTGAGTGTGGTCTGTGAGCAGAATACTGCAGCTTATTTGCTGGCAAGGACCTTGAAACGCCACAGAGTTGTGGCAGTGAAAACAGCTCTGGCTGGTATCTCTGCCATGAGGCTGGAAAGCTAAGGAATGGGCTGGATCTAACCGTCAAAGACACGGCTTTCCGTATTGCTTTGTAAATTAACAGCTCATGTGGTCAGAAAAAGAGAGATATACAGTAAAGAGAGATTCAAAGAGGAAGAAAATGTCTAAATGGTTTACAGTGTGTTAAAAATACATGATATACATATATATCATATATATATACATAAAAATACATGAAATTCAGGATAAAAGTTAAAGTTCTTAAAGTAAAAAGAAAGAAAGTAGTTGGGTGTGGTGGTACACACCTTTAATCCCAACACTTGGGAGGTGGCGGTACATTGACCTCTGTGACTTCAAGGGGCAGAGGTAGATTGACCTCTGTGACTTCAAGGTGTGGTAGCACATGCCTTTAATCCCAATGCCTGGGAAGCAGAGACAGATAGATCTCTGTGAGTTCAAGGTGTGGTGTGGTAGCACACGCCTTTAATCCCAGCACTGGGGAGGTAGAGACTGAAGAATCTCTGTGAGTTCAAGGACAGCCTGGTCTACGAGTTATTCCAGGACAAAAATATATAAAGAACCTGTCTCTAAAAGTAAAAGTAAAAATAAGAGAAATAGAGGTTAAAATAAAGCCACGTAAAGATGAAAAATACATGGATAATCTTCATACTGTATGTTATTATGCTCTCTTTGAATTGTTTGAATGCTGAGGAAGGAGCAACAGCTGCTAAAGGACTGTTGTTTATAAATGATGCTGAACTAACCCAAGATAGGTATTTTAAAAATACCTTGGCTTCAAAATTGAAGTCAAAAGGTATGTTACTTTGGAGAAGAGATTTTGCTTTTGTCCACAGAAAATGAGAGGCTATGGGTTCATTCTGATTTAAGAAAAATCAGCTTTGATCAAGAGAGGCCACCTGAGAAATCTCCAACAGGAACAGATGGCCCAGATGTCTGAGTTCTACATCCAGAACAGATTCAAGACTGCTGCCTGAGATGATCAAGACTCACAGGATACTCCAGTCAGGACTTGATTATAACTCTAAATTTTCTTTAGGTCCTCACAAGATCATCAGCGCTCCCAACCAGCAGGAAGTAGCCTGAAATACTACGGCCACATTCCCAACAAATGGACTATGGGTATTTTCCTTTGTTTAAAAAAAAAAAAAAGAGGGAAATGGTGTGGGAGAATTGTCTGTATTCTGTCAATCATATTTTAATAAAACACTGATTGGCCAGGCAGGAAGTATAAATGGGAAAACCAGACAGGAAGTGGAGGTGATGCAATGAGAACAGGAGAATTCTGGGAAGCAGGAGCTTCCTTTGTCAGTTCTGCCCAGACCACCAGAGAGGAAAGATGTAAGCTGCCCAGCTGAGAAAGGTACTGAGCCGCGTGGCTAACGTAGATAAGGATAATGGGGTAACATAAGTTATAAGAACTAATAAGTAGCCTGACCAAATGGGCCAATCAGCTTTATAACTTATAGAGATCTCTGTGTGAGTGATTTTCTTTGGGATATGCCGGTTGTGGGGTACCGGGTGGGACAGAAACCCCAACAAGCCGGCCCCTCATGTTACACACGCCAAGCTATAGAACAAAGAACATGTGATGGAGGCCCTGTACAGAGACATGATCAAGTTCTCTGGAAACCAATAGATCCACATCTCAGAGAAATGGGTGGAGAGCTCAACTAAGTTTAAAGTGGATGAATTTGAAGATGTGGTAGCTAAGAAGTTTTAGTCAGAGGCTGCTTGTTCATTTCCCGGCCACCCAGATCCAAAATAACCACAGAAACTGTATTAATTAAAACACTGTTTGACAAATCACTCAGGCATATTGCTAGCTAGCTCTTTTATCTTAAATTATCCCTCTCTATTAATTTGTGCATCACCACAAGGTCGTGGCCTATTGGCAAGGTTTCAGGGTATGTCTGTCTCCTCCAGCAGCTACATGGCTTCTCTCTGACTCCACCTACTTTCTCCCAGCATTCAGCTTAGTTTTCCATGCCTAGCTCTATTCTGCACTGCAATAGGCCCAAAACAGCTTCTTTATTAACCAATGGTATTCACAGCATACAGAGGGGAATCCAACTTCAAGAAGTTGCTCATCCCTGATGGCTAAGGAATGGCAAATGTCCCTAATCATGGACCTCTGGCACACAATGGGCCTTGCCCTTCTGCTGCTGAATCCCTCAGCCTGTCAGTCACATTTACAAAGAAATCTCACATCCAAAAGAGGTGTTTTAGACAAGATGCAGGTTGGGTCCAAGAAGAAGGTAAGTTTGAAAAATAAAATTCTTTTTAGGAATTTTTATTGTGTGTATTTATGTGCATATATCCATGTGATTGCAGGTGTCCTGTGGAAACCAGAAAAGGGCATTGGGAACTTCATTGGGGGAGTCTCACCATCAAAGTGAAAGGCACCTCCAGAACAATGGCTCAGCTATGAAGGAAAAGGCAGTCTGCTTCTGTATCTTCCTGAGCCAGTGCACCTACCCCTACAGCTCCATCCTCTGTTGACGTGGGGCTCCATCTTCGGCTTGAGGGATCTTCCAGGCCTCCTGTGCTGGATTGGGACTGCTAAAGTACCCAGCTTCATGGTCTGAGCAGCTTCTCAACCTTTTCAGCATGTATATTTTACTGTTGAACTGAGACCTATCATGTAAGTAATCTAATCAATCCCCATTTATCATGTGTACAGGAGTGCACATGCGTGTACAGACACATGCAGGCACTATTGCTTTTGTTCCTCTAAAGAACCTGTGTCATACCTGGAGGTAATGTATTCATATTTAATTAGTGGAACCAACCATATATTCCAAAATAAATATTTATCTGAGCATGTAGTAACGAGACAGTCAAAGTATACTTTTTCAAAGTAACTCTTCTGTAAATAAAATGAAAGAATGGACAGGTTGGTGAACCAACAGGAGAATTCAACAAACACTGAAAGAAACCTTGAGAAAGATGACTAAGTAACAACACAAAAGTAGATTAACTTTCTACTAGGTTATTAAACTGCATTTTCAGTTTATCTGTTATACTAGAGAGAACATGCCCGCGTTGTTAATAGATGAATATGTACAAAATTTAACATAACAGACATTGGTATGTGGCCTAAATAATAAGTAGTAAAATAAATCAAGGCATTGAAATCCTATGAATAATGAAATAATTTGTAGCTGGGTATATCCCACTAGTGAGGTGACTGAGTCAAGAAGAGCAGATTCAAGGCCAGCCTGGGCCAGGTGAGCTTAACTGCCTGACATTCCAGTATCTACTACTCAAAAGCTAAATCCAAGCTGTTATTTATGCTTCTACTTGAAGAGTCCACTCTGTAACCCCCTTCAGCCAACAGCATTTTTTAATATAGCATAAATACTGAGTTTTTGGAACTTCATCTAATGTTCGTTAGATTGTAAAACAGTGAAACCAATTTGACAACTCCTCAAAAAGTTAAGCATGCAGTTGCTATACAACCCATCACTTCCTTTCCACTATAAGAAAACACGTCACTCAAGCTTTTGTGTGAATTCTGATGGGAACATCACTCAGACTAATCCTAACCAGAGACCACCCAAACATTTACCAACTAAGTGGATCAACAACTGTGAAATCATGTGATGAGATGGAATGAGAGCAATGAGCTACTGATGCTTGTCACAACACAGATGAGCCTGAAAACATGATGCTAATTAAAAGCCACAAAGCACCATGGGTAGTATGATTCCATGTATGTGAAAGGAGCAGACTAAGCAGATCTGCAGAGGTAGGAAGTAAGTTCTCTGTTGCTGAGAATTGGACGTGAGAGTAGAGAAAATAGGAAACAACTACTAAAGAATGTAGCGTTCTTTGGGAAGATGGCAAAAAAATGACTTCACATTAATTATAGTAATAGTTATGGAGCACTGTGAATAGATAGTAGATATTTAAATAGGAAACTTGGGGAGGGTAGAAAGATGGCTCAGTGGATAGAAAACACGGGCTGTTTTTCCAGAGGACCGGATTTAATTCACAGCACCCACATGGAGATCCACAATTGTTTGTAACTCCAGTCCCAGGGGATCTGACACGTACTTCTGACCTCCATGGTACACATACGTATATGCAGGCAAAACACCCATACATATAAAATAGGTAATAATAAAATTATTTTTAAAATAGATAACATTTGTTAATTTTACTAAATTATTCTGTCTGGGCTTTTCAAGTTATTTGAGTTTTGAATTCCTAATTTTTGAGACAGAGTCTGGTATGTATCCCAGGCTAGCCTCAGACTCACATTGGTCCTGCTTCAACATTTCAAGCATTCAGATTACCTAGTCCACTGACTTTCAATGGACA